GATTTTTGGGGGGACCAGTATGGAGGTAGAGCATCCATCCTAGCCATCCTTGATCTCTTGGGACTTTCTATGCCATTGATCATGATAACCTAGTGGCGTTTGTTTAAAATTTATGGTCATTCAGACCATATACTGATTTTTTAAGTTCTAAAAACCCTGGCTATGTCTCTTTCATGGATCCAATATGCAATTCAATGATAATCCAACATTTGACACAGCCACTACTATGGAATGGGGATATTAATGAGATGGTGAATTAAACCAAATATGAACCACTGAAAAAGAAAAGCACAACTATTATAGTGTTTTGCCAAGAAAATCCACAAGGCATTGACATCTAAGAATAATAACCTGATATTAGAAGATGAGTCCCCCAGGTTATTCTAGTATATTTTTAGATATCCATCAGGTACTGAGGAACAGCACAGAGCAAGCGTGAATATCATTAAGGTTTATCCAGTGGCTGGATTAAAGCTGAAAGGATGTGTGGTTGCTGATATGCCAAGAAGCAAAAGGAAAGTTTGGGGCTGTAAAGATACTGCTGATAATAGGATATCAAAATCATGCATACTTATTGTAAGAGCAGAAATGCCAAGACTGAACAGCAACATTCTGGTAATCAGCTAGCTGAAATGGATAATTTGATATCAGAAGAACATCAAATCTATTACAGATAAGAAAAACATAGAAGAAATTGAGTACTCATAATTATTAATAAAGAGGTGTCAAGATTAGTGCTGGAATACAATCCTCCCAAATGGTATAATTATCTCAATTCAAGTTCAAGGCCAGTGAATTGATGTCATGGTGATTCAGGTCTATGCACCAATAGAATTTAGAGAAAACAGATTAGTTTGATGATGACTTGCAACATCTTCTTGATGCAGTACCTTAAAAATATATCATACTAATTACAGGAGACTGGAATACTGAAGTAGGAAATGAAATAGCATCTGAAATAACAGGAAAAGTTGTCCTTGACGTATGAAATTAAGCAGGAGACAGACTGAAACATTCTGCTGAAGAAATTATAGTAAATACTTTGTTCTAGCCATGTAAATACTTTGTTCTAGTTCATGTAAGTAAAGATTACTTTATTTACATGAATATCACCAGATGGACCCACAAAATCAAATTAATTATCTATTGTGCAAGTTAAAATAGAGAAGTTATTTTCAATCAGAAAAAACAAGATGTGGTGCTGATCATGGCTCAGATTATGAATGCTTTGCAAAACAATAAATTAAACTTAAAATAAACAATAATAATTAGACAATAAAATATTACCTTAGCAATATTCCACATAACTGAATATTAAGGTAAAAAACAAGTTTAATGGATTAGATTTCATTAACAGAGTGCCTGAAGAATTTTAGGCTAAAACTCATGACAAGATTAAAGATGAAGTGAGCAAAAATATCCTGAAAGCTATAAGCAAAAGAATGCAGAATAATTTCTGCTGATACACTGAAAATAGATGGAAAAACAAAACAAAGAGAAAGCAAAAAGCAAGATATGGAGGAAAATATGCCCAATAAAAACTGAATTCCAGAAAACATCAAGGTTCAAAAATTCACATCATTAGTGACTGTAGATATGAGACAATGTCTGCTTCTTGGTTGGTCTACACAAAATTTTGAAGTGTGCAAACACCACAATGACAATAAAGAAGTACATTGTCAGGGACTTGGGAAAACCCAATTCTTATAACAAAAATTAAGATTAAGTTTAAATATTTTGCTTTAATAAATAATACAAAGATAACACAAAGGCAGATGTTATTGGAAAAGACTGTGATGTTTGGAAAAATGAAAAAAATAAAGAGCCTAATAAGAAACAGGATGGTAAGATACTGTCACTGATATCCTAAGCACAGCTTACAATAACTCAGTAATTGACAATCCAGGTAAAATTATGTCTATCTGATCAGATAAGGTCTAAACTGACCAAAGAACAATAGACTGTCCACTGATACATGTGTAGATAAGAGTGAGAATGTTGTGCTGAAATATTGGAGTTGCTTTGCATTAAGAAGAGGCAACTACTGTGATGAATATGCAGGGGGGAGACAAGTTGGATGGACTCAGGATAAAAAAGAAATAAAACTAAGTTCTTAAGTTTAGGTCAGAATTCTCTACATGATGCTCACAGGCGTCAATTGACCTATGCCTATTTCTGGTACAGCTCATCTCCAGGCAATTTAAAAAAAATAAAGATGGTAGATATCTTTTTTGACTGGATATACGTATTACCCAGAAAAAAAGATAAAGATTAATTGAAATGATAAGGATCATCCTAACCTGGAGGGAACACTGGTAACATCTTAACCCAGACTATGTTTTGAAAAATGAGTATTTTGTGAACATTCACATTCACCATCTCAGGCATTTCATGCATATTTAAATTTTTCAAGGCAGCCATTTTAAGAATAACCAATAATGATATTTTTTAGAAATAATGAGAGCCTCATTTTTTTATATCTGAATCTCTAACTTAAAGGATGACAGTTTGAAAGTATGTATAACGAAATGTAATAAAAGGTAACAATATGAAGAGGTTTGTGCTGTAATTGATCTTTATATTTGTATTTCATTCTTTCATGACCCAAATTTGTTTATTTGCTACTTGTCTTTCCGTTATAGTTTTCTTAAAGCTTGACCACTAATCCAAAATTAAATATTCCAGCAAAGCATAGATATGTGCATGGATTCTGATTATTTCAAGGTTTATCTTCCACTGATATACATTAACAACTCATTCATTCAGCTGACATGTTCTACTCAAGCTGATAGCATTATCATCTGAATTCAATTCAAATAGACATGTATATGATTTAAAAAGCACTGTTGTTTTTCTAGAATAATGTATATTATTGTTACTTCCTTAGCAGTCTTTAAAAAGTTTGGCTAATGTGATCTTTTAATTTTTCTGCAACATTTTATCTATTTATTGCTCTTTTACCCCAGCCTCATGATTTACAGCTATGATGGATTTATCCTGCCCCCTTTAAATCTCAGCTAGCTAGCTGCACTTGGAAGTGTAATTTCATTAACAAGGACTCTGGCATTTCTTGTGACCTACTGGCCATAAGAGGCAGTTGAATGTAGACAGAGTCAAAGATTTATTCAGCCTCTGTGCTATCACTTTGCCTCTTCTCTGTGACATTATTTCAGGGTGGGGTCCTTCTGCCTTTGCTCCCAGGACTTCTCATATACACTCTTGCTTTCTGACTCTCTTCCTGGTAGGATGCAATTAGCTAGTGGCTAGGATTTCTATATAATGTATATCTTTAAACAAATCTTTACGTATAGTTAGAAAACCTGCTCCTCTGTTGATCAGATTGGATTTCCTATCTCAGGAAGACTTATAAATTCTTTCCTTCCAACTAAACCTATCAGTAGGGCATCACTTTAAGGAAGGTAGTTTCATCAACTCATTTGGGAATTAAAGGTAAAAAACCCTGAACTCAACTCCTGATAACCACAGAAACATACCTAGGAATGTTCACAGCTTTCTTTCAATATGTCTTTTTTACCCCTTTCCAGTCTAGTTCAGGGCTTTTCAACCTTTTCACCCATTGTACTACTTTTAAGATATGGCAACATCCGAGTACCACCAGGCACCTAGCAAGGTGTTAAAAACTTGATGACCCCCCCCCCAAAAGAAAAAAAGTGATAAAGTACAGGTAGTCCTCGTCTTAAAACAGTTCACTTAGTGACTGTTCGAAGTTACAATGGCACTGAAAAAGTGCCCCCCCAAGCTACAGCCAAACAAAACACCTGCCTGCCCACCTGGCAGCACTCTTCCTCCTGTCCGAGGTTTCCATTGTTGTGAGCATTTCTGTTGAGGATTGGCAGCGGGGATGGGGTGGGGGGTGTTTGGTTTTTATTCCCCCCGTCTGCTGGGTGGTTGCAGCAGGTTTTGGTCACTTCACCAGACCCTGGGACACCGTGACCATCATAAATAGGAATCAGTTGCCAAGCATCTGAATGTAAATCACAAGACCCTGGAGATGCTGCAACATTCCAGTGATCGGCGCTTCTTCTGGGCTCAGCAGAAGCGCCAGGATCAGCGCCGAGCTCCAGCTGGAGCCTGGCACTGATCCTGGCGCTTCTACTGAGCCTGACAACCCCAAAGAAGCGCTGATCAGCTGGAAAGAGGCACTGACAGCCCTGCACTCCAGCCATCTCTCACTCAGCCTTCTGCTGTGCTGCCACCAGTTCAGCTCATTCCTCTCCCCCACTACCACTTTTCTAGGATGGTCGCATACCACCTGCCAGGTGCCAATGTACCACAGGTGGTACCCGTACCACTGGTTGAAAAGCCCTGGTCTAGTTTACAAATGTACTGTGCTAACCAAATACTAACCAGGCCTGACTCTGTTTAGCTCTCAAGACTAGAAGTCATAGAATTGGAAGGGACTAAAGGATTATCTAGTCCAAGTTTCAGCCATGGGCAGGAAAAGCAAATCATCCATGAGAGATGGAGGACTACAGCCTCTCTAGACAGATTGTCCCACTGCTCTATAAATCCTGCCACCATGAAATTTTTTTCTTAGTTTTTTTTTTTAGTCCAGGTGGTGCAACCCCTATTGCTTTTTAATTCAGGGAGCTAGGGGTTGAATAGATATGTAGGGTTTGCCCTAAAAAACCCTCTTTTCTCCAGCCATCGGATACTGCAGCTAAATAATTCCAGATGATGAATGGTATTTAATATTCCATGTCGCGCTCTGGAGCCGAACTTCACGAACCAAAAACTGGGTAGTGGACTCCGAAAGGGAGGGAGGGGGCCGCTCGCGCCTTCGCTTTTCGCTTAGCAACAACCCCCGCCAACCAGTGTAGTAGCTCAGCCCCTTTTAAGACTAGCGTCTCTCCCCCCCCCCGCCGCGCGCCCCCCTTCGCCTTTCGCCAGCCGGCTACGATTGGAGGCACTGCCTTCCAGGAATGACTTCACGGCAGACTCCGCCCCCGAAGCTGGAGTGAATGAAGGAGCGAAGCGAGAGCAGCATCCGCTGCAAGGAGTTGCAAGGGACGTAGTGACTGGGAGCCGGGCGGCGGAGGCGAGGGCGTCCAGGGACACGGGACTAAGCAGCAGGTGGTCCTCTCGCCTGCATCTCTGAAGCGGCGGAAGCGGTCTCGGTATCTGGCGGCGTCAGCAACTTCAGCATCCCAGCACTGCTGCATCAGCGGCAATCGTAGCCTGTATCCCTCTGGCCCGGGCTGGCGGCTGCAGCATCCGCCTTTTCCGACAACAGCAGCTCAGCATCCCTCAAGCCAGCCTTCTCTTCCCCTTGGGTACCACTAGCCCCGGCTAATTCCCCCTCCTCCCTCCCTCTCTCTCTCTCTCTTCCTCCTCGCCGGCGTTTCTGCGGCTCTTTCCGCCCCTCCATCGCCGCCTGGGTCCCGGCTCCTCTTTTCTCGCCGTCTCTTTCCCCCCCTCCCGTCTTGAACTCGCTTTAGCTTTCCTCCTGCCAGCCTTTTCTCACCTCCCCGAGGCTCCCCCTCAGCAGCCAAGACGCCGCGGGCTGTACTCCGAGTGAAGAATGGGGCGTCGAAGCTGGCCAAATCGCAGGCGGCGGCCGAAGCCCCCGGCGGCGCCCCCGGTGCGGGGCTCTTCATGGAGCGTTCGCAAAGTCGCCTCAGCCTGTCCGCCTCCTTCGAAGCCCTGGCCATCTACTTCCCCTGCATGAACAGCTTCGATGAGGAAGAGGCGGGTAAGGTTTGGGGGAAAGGGGACGAAGGGGTGGCGGGAGGACCTGTCCGTGGTTTGGAGAGGAATGGGGTAGGCAGGAGACCCCTACTCGCTGGAGTGAAGCCAAGGAGGCGGCCTACCTTGCAGGTAATAGGGTACCTGCAGCCCAAACTCCTTTCCCTGGAATAAAAGGCACCAACTTTCGCCAACCAGGTGCCCTCCTTCTAAAACCCCTGAGCCTCAGACAGTAGGATGGTACCCAGGGGAGGATTAGTTTTGTCCTCCCTCCGATGTGGTGTTTTGTTTTCTTTCGGTTCTTCCTTTTTGGCTGAGGGTTAGAAAGGAAAAAATAGGGTGAGAGAAAGTCTATCTTCAGTAAAGCTCATCATCCTTTCCTTGTAGTCTACATCAGGATGCATTTCAATCTCCCACCGTTGCAGCTTCAACAGCAATGAAAACCACTGTGAATGGAACTAAAAATGAGGAAGCTTATATTTCGGAAAGGCTGCTGGCTGGGGAGAAGTTCACCCACTTTTGTGAAAGCTTTTCTGCCCTGTAATATGCGGGATCAGGGCACTGGTGAAATTAAATAAGCCAGTAGGAAATAACCAGGTTTTGTGTTGAATTAGCCAAGGGCATCTTTTGGATAAGCAATCAAGAAAGGGAAAAGTGGAATCTATTCATGTCAAAGAGAGAGAGAGAGAGAAAGTAAGTCAGGGTCCCAGCTTTACCCAATTTCAAGCCTTCCAGAGATGTTGAGTGACAGCTTCCACTCAATGTGGCCATTAGCTGTACTGGCTGCTGCTAAGAGGAGTTGCTATTCAATAATCAGGCTGAGGAAAATTATAATATGCAGTGGTTGAATTCTACAGAGGAATGAATGGAATGTGGGAGTAAATGGTGGAGGAGGCTAATATATCAATGAAAGTGTGTTATAGGATAGCAGTGTTCAAATCCAGGATGGTAATAAGAAGCGTGTGTATGCATGCAGTTTCCTTCTCTGAGTTTGTATGTCTAGGGCTGCTAGCAAAGAACCAGTGATTGCTATTAGCCTGTAAGTCAGTTGTCTGCAATCTGGTGACCTCAGATATTGAAATATTAGTTCCCATAATGCTCAGCCAGCATGACTAAAGTGCAGAATACAGGATGGACTGGAGTTTGAAGTTTTGTTGGCCTGTTAATATAATACAAATGGTGTGTGGTCATGGATGCGCTGAGTCAACTCAGTCTACCTGAGTCAGTATGATGACAGTTTTATTTAATCTGGCTAATTATTTTTTGCAAGTTGCCAGAAGCAGCCCTTTGTACATGTTATCTATGTGTCTTGTGAAGCATGCCGAGCTAGATTTCAGAATTACTGTGCATGGGATTAAAGGATCATTTTTACCCATAACCAAACTCCTTACCTTTTGATTTATACTGAAGTCGGTGTATTTATAAAAACAGCATGCATATTTTAATCCTTCTATTTTACTACTCAGCCTTCTGAGAAAAACACTGAAATGCAAAATTTTAAATCTGATGAAAAGGCCTCATCTGGCAATGAATCTTTCCAAGCATTTTAAACACCGATTGTTGTCATATACTGATCAAGAATATACTGATTTGGCTCTTTGCACATCAAACATTTTATGCACATAAATAGTTAAATCATGCTAATTGAAGAAAAAATGTTTACTTAAATTTCCAAATTAAAAGAAAACTTTATTTATCAATACACTGGTCCACAGCTACAATAAAGATTTTGATTTAATTATTGGATCAATGTGGCTAAAATTCAAGCAAATATATGCATTGTTAAAATAATACTAGATGTGAAAAATGCAATCTGGGACTTGTTGACTTTGAAAAGCTGGAGATTCTTTTTTATTATTATCATTTCTTTGAAGGAGCAACAAGTTCCTGAGGGAGGGATAAAAACATTAATTAATGGATTTTCTCAATTAATGGATTTATTCAAATTTAAAATGCCAGATACTAATCTCATAGATACACTTTTTATGAGCCAGGACTAGCTGCCTCTTCCAGTACAGCTTACATTTTGTGGTCCAGTGAGATCAATTTGTAGAATGTAAGAAAAAAACCCTACATTCTAAAATTAATGAATCATATACTCTTATATTCTTAGATCTGGTATTGAAACTGTTCCCCAGATTAAAGTTTTTGAATATGGGAGAAAAAATAAGAAAAAAAATCTTTTCTTTATTTTTCCCTGATATTTCATGTGTAGTAGCTCATGCTATTTTTTTTTTTTTTGATAAAATATAAAATGGAAAGCAAGTTTGTAGATTTGCTTGCTACAACTACATGCAAACTGTTCTGCAGAATCAGAATTGCCAATTAATGAAGATAAATGTTCACCCATGCTATTGGGTCAACTGTGTTGGCTGCCTCGGGCAGCAATAAATGCTTTGGGAAGGGGCAAATTCAGATGTTTTGGGAAGGCTATACCATCTGCCTTCCACCTTCCACCTCTAGATCTTGCCATCTTCAAGCAGTGAAAGTTATCCATCAGCAGCCTTTTGAGGAAAAACTGCAACATTATTGCGCTTAAATTCCGTATTTGGACTGGATGACACGCAATTTAAATTCTTTGCCTTAATAAAGTACCCTGGATTGTATTCTTGTATGTAAACTTGTGGCTCTACCTACTTTAAAAGTTTTCACTTAGTTTAACAATAATCATCTTTTGACATTTTATTGTTATTTTCATATTTCTTTTCTAGCTATCATTTCTAATCCTTGGTCTCTCTTTTAGGAGATGGCCCTTGGTTATTAACTTTATTTCTAATCAGGATTTCTCTAATGTGACATCAACTGATAATTCCAAATTTCTTTGTCAAAGAGTCTTTTCCAAAGAAGCAAATACATTGTGTATGGAAAGGGGAAGGATGAAGCCAATTTGATAAATAACTGGATGGAAATGCACTTATTAAGCCTTCCATTAAGAAAAAGGGGGAAAAATCAGTTGTGGAGGGATATCGGTGTCCTAGGATAATCACACAAATAAACACTCATAAAGGGCATCATAGAGAGATTTGTATCTGCTTTAATTTCGAACACAGACAACTGGTCAGAACAGGACATAGAAAAACATGGTCTGAACAAATACTTTCACTAACATAAGCTAATCACTTCAAAATAACAACTGGATAAGTCAGCAGAGGAATAATTGATAACACCAAATATCTATCTGGGCCACACAAACTTTCTACCTGGGTCAGAAAAATCCTAACTTAAAATTCTCCAGATACGCTAGGGCTGTGGCTCCAGTTCTCATTCACTTCTAAATAATGACATTAAACAAAATAATTTGGAAACTGTGCATGCAGCTGGGTAACTAATTGATCATAGCTTGGTGTAGATAATGTGAAAAGAACAATATAATAGAGAAAATATAACATTTCTATCTTCTTATCCCTATTTATTAATGGAGTGAATAATGATATTAAGCTAGTGATTCCATTTGTGTGTGTATGTATGTGTTTATGGGTGCATGAGTTTAACAGCTTGAATACATGAGAAGTTTTTTGGGTCATTAATGTAGGTGATCAGATGGAAAGTAAGCAATGTAGTAAGCTCTAAAAGATTGCAGTTCAGTTTCCATAAATCCTAAGTTGCAGAGAGTTAGTTGAAAAGACAAAAACTAATACAGCCTTAATATATTTTAAATAAATACATGTACAACACACATGCTGCCAGCAATAGGTTACTGGGCAATGGTCTTGTGTCCTTTTTAATTGGGGGAGGGGAAAGGGAAGAATAATAAAAGCAAAACAATCCTCTGTCCTCTTCTGCATGTGATCTGATGTTCTTCTAGAGAGGTGCTACACTTAAGCAAATAACCAAATGTTGTAAGATAAATTCGTTCTTTAAAGTAAGGTCTTTACCCTGTAATACCATCCTTGTTATCATAATTCCTTATATTTTTTCCATTTTTTTCCTTAACATCATTTTTAATATTATGCTACATTTTGTGTGAATAATTATTCTTGTAAATTCATTTTTCATGCAAATGTACTAGGATTATTATTATATTGTTTTCAGAATGCTGAAAGAGAAATTGGGTATGTCTCAGGCTGTGCTAGCCAATAGAATGGCTTTAACAAAGTCAGATTTTCTGCCAAATAAAGTGATTTCACAACTGATATATATTCATTTATTCTAAATTGTGCTTTGTGAAACAAAATCATCTTCTGATTCATAGTTCTTGCATAGCATCTAGTAAAGATACGATAAAATGCATATTTTGACCAACAGTAAACTCTCAAATGTTTCTCAAGGAATAACAGAATGAACTATTGTGGGATAAAAGTTCTATAAATCATATAAATATAAATATTTATACAGGCAGTTGAAGTAATCATGACTCTGAAACAAATAGATAAAATAAACTATGTAATAATTAATAGCAATAGCAATAGCACTTAGACTTATATACCACTTCACAGTGCTTTACAGCCCTCTCTAAGTGGTTTACAGAGTCAACATATTGCCCCCAACAATCTGGGTCCTCATGTTACTGACCTCAGAAGGATGGAAGGCGGAGTCAACCTTGAGCCAGTGAGAATCGAACTGCCAAACTGCTGGCAGCCGGGTGACAGCAGAAGTAGCTTGCAGTACTGCATTCTAACCACAGCGCCACCATGGCTCTTAATAAGAGGAAACAGAAGAAAGACTAAAGGAGAACCAGATCTGCTTTGTTAGAAATTTCTGGAAAGACAGACCGCAGGCAACCCCATATAAAATAATGGTTTTATAGCATGTCTGAATGCATCCAAAATACTTTTGCTTATATTATTTGAGATACCTTAAGGTAGTCATTGAAAATACATGATCATTCTTCTATTATAGATGAGAGCTGAAGTTCAGTGTTAGTATCTTACTCCAGTAGGTCAAAACAAATGAACCTTGTCTAATGATCATGATCAGAGAAGCAGAAGACATTAATAGCAGATGGAAGCCAGCAAAAACAGTCAATCCCACCCATGACTTAAAAAACAAAGTTGTTACTGTTGAACT